CTCTGGGAGGCCAAGGCAGGAGGATCGCTCAAGGTCAGAAGTTCAAACCAGCCTGAACAAGAGCGAGACCCTGTCTCTACTAAAATAGAAAAGAATTAATTGGCCAACTAAAAATATATAGAAAAAATTAGCGCATGAACAACAGAGATTAAGGTCAATTGACCTGCACAAAGCATCATCTACGGCTCCAGTATATGCACACTCGTGTTAAGATCCCACACACTCTTGGAGACCTGGCTGGGAGCGAGGCTCAGAAGGAATACATCATCGCTTAAACCCAGGAGGTTGGATGACCTGTATGCTCGCGCCAGAGCTAGGCTGAATGGATCATGTCAGACGCCACGGCCGGTATGCCCAGCGGCGCACAAAGCCAGAAGTGGACTCTGTCGGCTCAAGGAAAAGAATGAAATCGAATCCAAGTCAGAAACACAAGAAAACAAGACGGAAAGGACCTCACTGATATATGAAACATCCACGCGTCAGGAGCATGCATTAACAGAAAAATCCAATAGACACCTGATTGCCCTCACCTTCATGGACTCAGTCTATGGTTGACTGTCCAATATTTTCTGATCAGTTTTTACTGGCCCGATGACTGAGACAAGAATACAGAGGCGAGGAACCCTCGGAGATAGACAGAGCCACCATCAAAAAACACCCATAGCACATCAGCCCATTAAAGGAAAGAAAAATAATTTCAGGCACAAGAACACTGTGAAAACAAACAAACCGAACTATAGCCAACAAAATGTAAAAGAGCAAAAAATAGAAAAGGAGATCAATTCACAACACCAGACAACACCCAGACTCAAACCAAACCAGTATCTAAAGTTTAAAAGGTATGGTTGAACGAAACATCCTCTAGTAGTGTTATTGAACAGTATGATAGTGCATGAGAGATCTTGCAATGATTAAAAAAAAAGGAGACAACGCAATGACAAAAAAGATGCCAGAAATAGAAAACCCAATGAGGATGTATAAACGGAGATAGCTATATATACTGAAAACACTTTACTACCAAAAATATTGTAGTGCTAAGCACCTCACACCATACCTCTCTAAAAAAAAAATAAACTAATTAGGCAGCCACTGACTTGAAAATGTGCATACTGCCCACTAGATCAGCCATTTTCTCAGATTATTAATACTTACCTTTGCATATGTTGTGTTGTCTGCAAACTGGGATAATATAACTTGTGGGCTTTTTAAGTCAATACTTGCCATTCCTATTTCACCTCTGGCAAGTCCTCTCCCTTCTACAACAGCTACAATAACTGATGGGGAGTGTATAGAAACTGCAGATGAGGATGTAGCTATTAATTTTTAAATAAAGAAAATGTATAAACATTAATTAATAGTCACTTCTAATTCTTTCACATAAGATCTTAAAGCACCTAATCTAGGACATCACTACTGTATTAATACCCAAGAAAATAACCTTTTTTTCTCAGTAAAAAAATAATTTTTCATAACTCAGATCAAATAAAAATATTAATTCTCAAAGTATTTTGCCAAAACTTAACCTCACATTTAGAAATAACAAATTTTTACATTGTCTTATTTTATACTTTATTAGATGGAATCATAAAAGGACCACTCAACGTGAGATCAAAACTTAGATTATTTACCTTACTCTATCATTTGAAAGATATTTGAATTTGGATAAATTATTTCATAATAAATAATTATAAATTATAAAATATAATTTAATAACTTGAGAGCTCCCTGAAAGGATCAAATTAGATTACATATATGGATGCATTGTATAAAGATCAAACATTATACGACTATGAACTCCAATTGTGAAATATCTGTGTAATATAGAGATAAAAATTACAACAAAATAACCAACATTTATTAAGTGCTTACTATTAGCAAGAACATTGTAAATTCTTTATTTGGATTAACTCACTTGATTGTCACAACAATCCTATCAAATAGACACCATTATTTTCTCCATTTTACTTACAGGGAGACTGAGGCATGGATGGAACTGGCAGAGACAGAATTTGTACCCAAGCAGCCTGGCTCCAAAGCTCATGCTCTAAACCATTACATATATTACTAATGTTAACATATGTGCCTTACAAACTATGAATGCTTGAGTAAATTTTTTAATCTTTTAAAAGCTACCATTTCCTCACCTGAGAAATAAGGCAAGTAGATGAAAAAAGAAAAAAAATAAGTAATATATATTTATAAAAATATATAAAAAAATAAGCCGGGCGTGGTGGCTCATGCCTGTAGTCCCAGCTACTTGGGAGGCTGAGGTAGAAGGATCGCTTAAACCCAGGAGTTGGAGGTTGCTGTGAGCTAGGCTGACACCACGGCACTCTAGCCCAGGCAACAGAGTGAGACTCTGTCTCAAAAGAAAAAACAAAAACCTCTATACTAAACACTGGGCATGCAAAATAGACATGATTCCTACCTTCATGGACCTTATAGTCTAGTGGTTGACTGTCAATAATTTTTTATCAGTTTTACTGGCCATGACTGAAGACAAGAAAGAGCAGGGAGGGAGAGAGACAATAAACACATAATCACATAAAAAAGAAAATAATTTCAGGCACAGAAACTGTTAAAAACAACAAAAACTATAGCAATGTATAAAGAATAAGGGTTGCTTTAGTTAGGTTGGTTGAGAAACATCTCTGTGTGTTTGACAGTTGAGTTGAGACTTGCATGATAAGAAAGGAGCCAGCAATGAAAAGATGACAGAATGGGAATCATGAGGATTATAACGAAGATAGCTCATATATACTGAACACTTAGTATGGACCAGGGATTGTGCTAAGCACTTTACATGTATCAACTTGTTTAATTCTAATAACCACGGTATGAGGTAGATGTTATTATTTCCACATTTTACAAAGAAAGGAACTGAAGCACAAGGAAATTAAGTAATTTGTCTATGGTTTCCTAGTAAGTATCACAGCAACAATTTAAACCGAGAAAGTCTGGCTCCAGAACCAGAAAGATGAAGGTTGATGAAGCTTTGCAAGTAGGGATAAGAATAGAGGGAGATGAAAGAAGCTGATAGAGGCCAGGACATAGAAGTCCTTGTAGGCCATAGTAAAGAGTCTGGATTCTACTGTACACGTAACAGAAGCAGGTTGAGAACAGACTAATTTTAGGAGGGTAAGGGGCAAAGAGACAAGTTAGGAAGCTATTATGGTAGTCCAGATTTAAGATGATAGAAATTTGGGTTAGGATGGTAGCCTTGGAAATGGTGAGAAACGATCCAGAATTGGTATATATTCTGAAGGCTGTATCAAGAGGATTTACTGATTGATTCAATCTGGGGTGTGAGAGAAGGGAAAAAAATGGCTAGTAATATTTAGTCATTAGACTACCAGATTTTTATACTAATTTAAACAAATTTTTAGGGAATTGCTCATATCAACTGGCTGGGGGGTCTCGTTGCATGCTCAATTTTTTACTTTTTGAAAATGTTGTTTCTGCAGGAACAAAGGATGTGAGGAGTACACACAAACCTACCATTAACTATAGTAATCAGTGTATGTAACACTGCACTGAACAGGTGACAACCTATGAAAACATTAGAACTATTCAGATAGTTTAGTAGGTAGAATATCTATCTTCTAACCTGAGATTCTTTGGTTTAAGACTGTGAAAAGACTTCTCAATATTACCTTTACAACCATAATATGAACTCGTGAAGGTCAGATATTCTGTCATTTAGATCTCTGTATTCCTAATATACAGCAGGAACTCAAGCAGTGCTTGACAATGATAATGATGAGCAATGATGATATATGAAACATGACAAGGTAAAACTGAATATAAAATACTTTGTAATAAGTACCAGGCTTGGCCATAATAACATAGGATAACATAGAAAGTCAATGTCAAGGTAATTTTAACTCACAACCTAATGGATGTGAAATGGTACCTAACAGTGATTTTGATTTGCATTTGCCAATGACTAGTGATGTGGAGCATCTTTTCAGGTACTTACTGGCTATTTGTTTATCTTTTTTGGAGAAATGTTTATTAAGGCCCTCTGCCTAGTTTTTAATTGGGCTGTTTGGTTTTTGTTTTTCATTTTCTAAGAGACAGGGTCTCACTATGCTGCCCAGGCTAGAGTGCAGTGGCATGATCATAGCTCACTGCAGCCTCAAACTCCTTGGCTCAAGTGATCCTCCCACCTCAGTCTCCTGAGTAGCTGGGACTACAAGTGCATGCCACCATGCCTGGCTAATCGGTTGTTTGCTTTTTGTTATTTAGTACAAATATCTTTTTAAAACCTGATTTTGGTGAAACATCTGAGCAGATCAGCAACAATAGTATAAAATTACAATGATTAAAAACATGTTTACTCAGGCTGAGTACAGTGGCTCATGCCTGTAATCCTAGCACTTTGGGAGGACAAAGTAAGAGGACTGCCTGAAGCCAGGAGTTTAAGATCAGCCTGGGCAACACAGCAAGACCTTGTCTCTACAAAAAATAAAAAAAATTAGCCAGGCATGGTGGCATGCACCTGTAGTCCCAGCTACTCGGAAGGCTGAGGTGGGAGGATTGCTTGAGCCCAGGAGTCAAGGCTGCAGTGAGCTATGATTGCACCAATGTACTCTAACCTGGGCAATAGAGCAAGATGCTGTCTCAAAAAAAAATGTTTATTCAATATTTCTCCATCATAAGCCAGGTTTGGTGGTATAACCTTGCAGTCCCAGCTACTCCGGAGGCTGAGGCCAGAGGATGCCTGGAGCCCAGGAGTTCAAGACCAGCCTGGGCAACATAGCGAGAACCTGTCTCAACAACAACAAAAATCAAACAGTTTAAAGAACTTTAAAGTATTTATAGAAAAACATGACATAAAATATACCAATATGTTTTGTAAGGAAAAATTAGATGTTCTTACCTACAGTCTTGATTATTAATTAATAATTCAAGGTTTTGGGCTGATGATGAATCTATCATGGCTGTCTGTTCACTACCCTGGAAACACACCTTCAGCGATTTTGGTGCATAAACTGAATTTTGAATAAATTCAACATATTTTAACAAAGCTGCAACAGCTGCAAGGCAGTAATACCTATAAGGTGAACAATGATACATCACTATACATCTTCAGAATAAAAAAAAAGTATTGCTATAAAAGAAAATATATATTTTACCTTAATTTAAGGAAGATTATAAATACTTGCATGGCATTACTTTAACTCAAAGGGAAAAGGTAGGCCAAGTGTTTGTTCCTTACTTTGAAAACTAGGTGATTAACATCTAAATCATAAAAATTGATACTAATAGAGAATTTTTAAAAATCTTGACACTTAAGGGATATTAGACTCCAATAAATTCCATGTTAGAAGACAACTTTCAATGGTGATGTGTGTCAATTTTTTACATACCATTCTAAGTATTGAAATAATATGGAGAAAGTCTCAGACTTTAAAGACAGAATCAAGAGATCCCAATGTACAGGAAAGTATGTTATGATCTTAGTGAGAATAACCACTGTGATTAACTGAGTAAATAGGTGATACAATCTGGCTCAAAGAAATTATCTATTTAGCATGATCTAAAAAATAATCTGTCCCAAAAATATCATTCCGTGTCTCATGCTGAATCTTTTAGGGGAAAAGATATGAAGTATCAGAAACACAGCTTTACCTGTGTTTCACTTCTAAGTCTTCACATTTCTAGTTTACTGTAATCACTTGAGTTTTTCACACCAAAGTAAAGGGAGCAGCAACCCTAACGGCAATAGATGGGTGACTAATTTGGAGATATTCTATATAAATTCATTAGCAATATATGATTTATGTACAAATTTTAGTTAACTATTTTCCTATTTCAATAATTACTAAGTGTGTATTGTGAGCCAGACACTTTTCTAGGTGGTAGAGATACAGTACAGAAGAAAATAGACAAAAATCCCTGTCCTTGTGAAACTCACATAAGACATTTATTACTTTTCTTAAGTTATAACTTACTTGGACTGAACCTCCATTAGGACAGTGCTGAATTCTGCTATGCATAACTGTTCAATGTACTCTAATCCTTTTGTTTCATTGAAGTATTTCCTTTGGATAGTAGTGAAATTAACATTCTGAAAAAAATTTTGATTTCAAAATAAATGTTTAAGTACTATGAGCTTGCTCAAAACTGCTTTCTTAAACACATGCTGGTACATAGGTAGGTGGTTTAAATATTGTATAAAGTTTATTTATTAATGTTTTTGATGTTTAAATAAGAACTTTTCTTAGTTATTTATAAACAGGGAATGATTTTCCATCTAGCTAAGTGAATTATAGGATACAATCTGTAGCTCTTATTAGAACTTACTCTCATGAACCTTAGCTGAATATGGTAGGTACAATAATAAAAAATAAAGATGAGAATCTATGCCTTGTAGTAATTTATTCTGTAGAAACAATGTCACAGATTTTACATTCAGCCTTCCATAGTCTATGATAATCAAGAAAGGGTAGATCCTTATAATGTGCTCGTTGAAAAGACGAAACCACCATGCCTACCTATCAAATTTATGAAATGCTATTTATTTAAAGTGAATTTCATATATTCAGAATAAAGAGAAATAGATAATGAAACTTTTAAAAGAGAGCAAAAAAAAAAACCCATGAAGTTGTTCAATAAAAGGTTTACCTACTTTGAATAAAAATAATGGGTAAGAAAGGTAATACAATACCAGTTGATTGTGAAAGAGCTGTTAAGACCAAAAAAAAAATCATGAGTAAGTAGAAAATGTATGTGTCAAGATTGTTTTAAAAGTTATCTTATTTCATCTTTACAATAATCCTATGATGTTTGTCTTACTAATTCTAATTTCCCTGTAAATAAAATTCTGAAAAGGCAAGCAACTTCTCTAATAATATACAGTTGATATGTGAAAGAGCTGAGACTCAAATTTAGATTTCTTTCCACTTCATACTGCTTCTGATTTAGTGAAGGTATTTTTTTTTTTAAGAGATAGGGTCTTGCTACATTGCTTAGGCTGGTCTTGAACTTCTGTGCTCAAGTGATCCTCCCGTCTCAGCCTCCCAAGTAGTTGGAACTGCAGACAGACATGCACCATTTTGCCTTACTAAAGAAGGTCTTTTTATGGTAAGTGTGGTAATAATAATAATAATGATAATAATAATATTGCTTTTCCCTTCTGCTTATAAAATTTTTAACCTCCATGGCTTGTTCCCTCGCTCCATTCAGGACTTTGCCCAAATACAACCTTATCAATGTGGCCATCTCTGATTGTCTTATATAAAATATCAATTCTCTAGGAAGTAGGTACTATTATTGTCCCTAATTAACTGATAAATAAAACTGAAGCTCAAAGTGGTTAAGTAACTTGCACAAGGTCACTTAGAGTCAGGATTTGAAACAAGGCCAGTCGATTCCTCTATTCCTAAGCACTGTGCTATACTGCCTTATTCAAACATACTGAAATTATGTTGTTTTTTCCTTTGGAGGACTTATGCTGCATTCCACATGATTCTGCTAGGCCTATCAATTACAGTGCTCCATGCCCCACAGCAAAAAACACATGATCCAAGATTAATCAGAAGGCCTCACAACTCTCAGAAATAGTGAGTCTAACGTGGGAAAATGAAAAAAAGCCCAGACTTGAGCCTTAAATAAGGTATCTATGTAAAAAAACCATGTGTACGCCCTTAATATTTTGACATAAAAAGGAGATGAAAAAGTCAGTGTCTTTCCCTGGAATTCATATATAGACACTGAAAAAAAAAGTTCTTTTTCCTCTGCGTTAGCTAAACTGAGATGACATCAGCCTGGAGCCATCAGCAATCATATTCTTAAATCTCATCGAAGTAATCTACAGTGGAAAGAAGATGGTACTAGGGCCAAGGGTAGTGACAAAGATTCTCTCTTTAACCAAACTCTACCCAGATTCCTCTGAGCCTTCTTCTCAAATAGGCCTGGACCTTGGCCTATAAAGACTTGAACAAAATACTAACATTGATTCTAACTGCTCAAAGCCATATCCTGACTCTTTCACCTACTGCAATAGTACATTACGGATTAAAATCCATCCTTATCACTGTCACAAGTGTTTGGCTTTTTTATCTTTGACAGTAGGGACAGGATCTATCTAACCACTGACTTCCCAGTTACATAAAGCCATATATTTCCTTTTTTGCTTAAACTAGTTTACACTGGATTTACTTATAACCAAAAGACTTAGAAGCCCTAATCAGAACAGCAGAAAAAAACCCACAAAAGTTAGAAAGATATACATAAAGGTGATGAAAAGAAGTATGAAGTAATAAATGAAATAAAACATATAAAGAAATTTGTCTAATAGAGACAATATATTTAGAATAGTGATCAATGAGTCAAAGACACTTGAGCTACATAGGATCTCTAAGAGCACCACAACAAATCTTATATAACTGCAAATGCTGAATATATTAGGAACGAGAAATGACCTCATTGGACTCCAAGTGTCAGGTTGGTTCCAAATATAAGTCTACAAACATAACAAAATATAGTATATTATGAAAATAATTTGCACTCCTAAGGAATTATTCCAACTGCAATAACTGCAGTTACTTCAACTGCAATGCTGTCTACTTGGTTTAGAATCACAACCCCTGTTTTACAAAACAGTGAGATTTGCTAGAGGGAAGAAATAAACTACACGGTGGGAAAGCCCTTAGTGAAGGGGAGAGCATTCTTGGATAAGGTTCCACAGCACTTATCTGTTACAGTCCAATAGATGAAGGCCAGAATAACAGGCTAATTGTGAGGCAGTAATGTTACAAGGGGAAGTGGAAACAATTTTATAACACAGATTAAATTCCCTAGAGGAGGCCGGGCACGGTGGCTCATGCCTGTAATCCTAGCATTCTGGGAGGTGGGCGGACTGCTTGAGGTCAAGAGTTCGAAACCAGCCTGAGCAAGAGCAAAACCCCGTCTCTACTATAAATAGAAAGAAATTAATTGACCAACTAATATATATAGAAAAAATTAGCCGGGCATGCTGGCACATGCCTGTAGTCCCAGTTACTTGGGAGGCTGAGGCAGAAGGATTGCTTGAGCCCATGAGTTTGAGATTGCTGTGAGCTAGGCTGACGCCACGGCACTCACTCTAGCCTGGACAATAAAGTGAGATTCTCTCTCTCAAAAAAAAAAAAAAGAATAACAAAACACTAAACATAGTAGATCATATTTTTAAAATAATAATTGGAAAAATTTTTTTTTAAATAAAGTAACAATTGGGTCAAAAAACTTTTCCAAATATAGAGATTAGGAGTAAACTATCTCTACCTGAGGGGTCCCCAATTTATGAGGAGTTGTATAATTATTTCATTATATATCACAATGTAATAATAATAGAAATAAAGTACATAATAAATGTAATGCAAGAATCATTCTGAAACCATCCCTGCCATTCTCTGGTTAGTCCGTGGAAAAACTGTCTTCCATAAAAACTGTCCTAGGTGCCATAAAGGTTGGGGACCACTGTTCTACCTGATAGATGATATTATACAAACTCCCATGACAATAGGTCAGTAGCCCAAATTAATGATGAGTGACATAAAATGGAGCCAAAATAAGAAGTGAAGGCAAGAAATTAAGAGACTAAATTGGCTGGTGCAGTGGTTCATGCCTGTAATCCCAGTTACTCAGGAGGCTGAAGCAGGAGAATCAATTGAGCCCAAGAGTTCAAGACTCAGTGAGCTATGATCACATCACTGCACTCCAGCCTGGGGCAACAAAGCGAAACTCCGTCTCAAAAAAAAAAAAAAAAAAGACAATTACCAATTATGGCTGACCTAAGATACCAGTTTCCCTAATGCTGGAAAACTAAAATTCAAATATAAATCAGTGAAAACAGCACTCTGGAAATTGCATTATCATAGATTTGGGCCATAACCTAGACACAATCCTGAACACCATAATCATAAATGTTGACATCCTGAAAGAGCAAAATTCCTAAAGTCTAAAAATCCCCCAAATCACAATCCCCCCCCCCGAAAAGATCAAAATCACAAAAATATAATTCTGGGAGAAATAATTTAGAAATTTTTAAATACCTTAATTTACATTTGTAAAAGGTGATTTTTTTTTTGAGAAACATAAAAACACAATAGAATACTCTATAGAACACTTTACACAATAAAATAAGCAATAATAACATATATACAGTATTTTTACAAGCATAAACACTCAGGTATACTAATAACAGTCCCATGGGTATAACAGTTATGAACAGATAAACCATATTCATAATGAAATAGGTCAAAAAATGCATATCACTAGGGATGGTAATTGGGTGCACCCAACTTTATAACTGTGGTCATTTGAAATGCCATGAGGTTCTGCAATTATACAGAGAGAAAAAAAGAAAAAATAATTAAAAATACAAAACAAAACAAAAAAGAAATACCATGAGGGACAACCTAAGTCTTTTGATGAGATCTATCAAAAACTGCAACTGGTCACCACCACACATGCAATCACCCAAATAGCTGAGATTTCAAGAAATGTTATCTTTAGCAAATGCAGATGTATGAAAAGGAATCTCTTTATTTATTTAGGAAATTTCAACATTTTTACCTATATGCACAATGCTTATACACAAAGTCAATGTTGTGACAATGCACTTTCATGGAGTCAAATTTCTGATGCCTAAGGCAGGAAAAGAAAAGTCTGTCTCAGCTCTCAAAGAGAGACTAATTCTATTTCTGTATTTGCTCTCTCCAGGTTCTTGGCAACTGGATGGTGCCTGCCAACATTGAGAGCAGATCTTCCCCACCTTGTCCACTCAGACTTACATACTAATCTTCTCTGGAAACACCTTCAAAAACAGACCCCATATAATGCTTTAGCAGGTATTTTTAATCCAGTCAAGTTGACACCTAAAATTAAGAACACAAGTCCACCCCTTGTCAACTTGACACCCACATGCATCTCCTTAAACTATATTAAATTTCCAAATAAAGACAATAACAAGGTAGTAGTTCTGCCAAACATGATGCAACTAATATGATGCAACTATCCTATGTACAACCAAAAATGCACTAATCCCTTTCCTAGAATTTGGCTTTTAGGATTTCAGTGTTGGGGATTTTAATCTTTGGTATTGTGATTTTAATCTTTTGGTATTGTGATTTTTCAGAATTTTAGACATTAGAGATTTTAGACTTTAGGGATTTCAACTTCAGGGATTTTGATTTTTCAGGATTTCAACATTGAGATTATGGTTTTCTGGACTGTGGCTTTCAGAATTATGATCAGCACCACATTATCACATATATTATCACCTTTGGAATGAGTCTAAAAATTATTGATTTGAGGATGTTAATTTTAGAAATTAACATTAACAGTAACTTTGGAATATTCAAGTAATAGTAAAACACATTCTTTTTAGGTCAAAATATACTTAAAAAATAAAAATCAGATGTAAAATAATTTTATTTTAAATTATTTATATTGAAGTAATCATGAATAACCTTTATTCCACCAAAAATAAACTAATTAAGGCCGGGAGCGTCGTGCTCCACGCCTGTAACCTAGGCTCTTGGGAGGCCGAGGCGGGCAGATTGCTCAAGGTCAGGAGTTCAAAACCAGCCTGAGCAAGAGCGAGACCCCGTCTCTACTATAAATAGAAAGAAATCAATTGGCCAACTGATATATATATATAAAAAAATTAAGCCGGCATGGTGGCGCATGCCTGTATCCCAGCTACTTGGGAGCTGAGGCAGAAGGATCACTCGAGCCCAGGAGTTTGAGGTTGCTGTGAGCTAGGCTGACACCGGCACTCACTCTCTACCTGGACAACAACGAGACTCTGTCTCAAAAAAAAATTAAAAATAAAAAAAAATAACTAATTAGCAGCACTGACTTGAAATGTGCATACTGCCCACTAGATCAGCCATTTCTCAGATTATTAATACTTACCTTTGCATATGTTGTGTTGTCTGCAAACTGGGATAATATAACTTGTGGGCTTTTTAAGTCAATACTTGCCATTCCTATTTCACCTCTGGCGAAGTCCTCTCCCCTTCTACAACAGCTACAATAACTGATGGGGAGTGTATAGAAACTGCAGATGAGGATGTAGCTATTAATTTTAAATAAAGAAAATGTATAAACATTAATAATAGTCACTTCTAATTCTTTCACATAAGATCTAAAGCACCTAATCTAGGACATGACTACTGTATTAATACCCAAGAAAATAACCTTTTTTTCTCAGTAAAAAATAATTTTTCATAACTCAGATCAAATAAAAATATTAATTCTCAAAGTATTTTGCCAAAACTTAACCTCACATTTAGAAATAACAAATTTTACATTGTCTTATTTTATACTTTATTAGATGGAATCATAAAAGGACCACTCAACGTGAATCAAAACTTAGATTATTTACCTTACTTTATCATTTAGAAAGATATTGAATTTGGATAAATTATTTCATAATAAATAATTAATTATAAAATATAATTTAATAACTTGAGAGCTCCCTGAAAGGATCAAATTAGATACATATATGGATGCATTGTATAAAGATCAAACATTATACAATATGAACTCCAATTGTGAAATATCTGTGTAATATAGAGATAAAAATTACAACAAAATAACCAACATTTATTAAGTGCTTACTATTAGCAAGAACATTGTAAATTCTTTATTTGGATTAACTCACTTGATTGTCACAACAATCCTATCAAATAGACACCATTATTTTCTCCATTTTACTTACAGGGAGACTGAGGCATGGATGGAACTGGCAGAGACAGAATTTGTACCCAAGCAGCCTGGCTCCAAAGCTCATGCTCTAAACCATTACATATATAACTAATGTAAGATATGTGCCTTACAAACTATGAATGCTTGAGTAAATTTTTTAACTTTAAAAGCTACCATTTCCTCACCTGAGAAATAAGGCAAGTAGATGAAAAAGAAAAAAAATAAGTAATATATTTATAAAAATATATAAAAAATAAAGCCGGCGCGGTGGCTCACGCCTGTAATCCTAGCTCTTGGAGGCTGAGGCGGGTGGATTGCTCAAGGTCAGGAGTTCAAAACCAGCTGAGCAAGAGTGAGACCCGTCTCTACTATAAATACAAAGAAATTAATTGGCTAACTGATATATATATAAAAATTAGCCGGGCATGGTGGCGCATGCCTGTAGTCCCAGCTACTTGGGAGGCTGAGGCAGAAGGATCGCTCGACAGGAGTTTGAGGTTGCTGTGAGCTAGCTGACGCCACGGCACTCACTCTAGCCTGGGCAACAAAGCGAGACTCTGTCTCAAAAAAAAAAAAAAAAAAATAATAATAATATATATATATATAATATATACCATCAGGAAAACAATACAAAAACTAACCATCTTTCTTCATCTGTAAACGGAAATACCAAACTTTTTTGCAGGGATGTTATATGAATTAAATGGAATAATATAGAAGTGTTTCATAAAGTATACGAAATCACTTAAAGGGCATTATACATGTATGAAAAATAGACTAAAAATGTCTGAAATTTTATTTTCAAAGAAGCAAATTGGTCTTTTATTTCTTTGTCAACCTTTTAATTTACTCCTCTTCCTCCCTCCTTTCCTTCCCTGACCTACATTCCTATGTTCTTCTATTTTAATGCCCACAAAAATGTTTATATGCTGAGTAAATAGTAAATAGTAAAGGGTTTACTTACAATCTATTGTGTTTAGACCTCAGGAAACTTTTCCCCATGAAAGCTATGTTATAAATGGTGATTAAGGTTATATTAGATCTACAGAAGTCAGTTTAAGATCGCAATAGAATATGGCATTCCTACTTTTAACTGGAAAATATATATCAAGTTCCAGTAAAAAATTCAATACATGGAGAAGACATCTCCCCTAAAGTTCTAAAAGAACATTTAGGTTGTTATCTCTCTGTTATAAATCATACTATAATGAGCACAACAGTACATAAAGCTTTTTTCTGGGTTTCTTATTTTCTTAAAATGCATTCTTAGAAGTCAAATTACTGGAAAAAAAGGAAAATCATGTTTCTAGGATCTCATATAAATTGCCAAATTTCTTTTGAGAACTGGACTAATTTTTAATTCTGTCGGTAGTATATGAGAAAAGCCAATCTTACTGTATCCTCACCATTACTAACTTCTAAAATTTATTATTTTTATTATTGGCTAATTTAATAGAGTGGCCCTTAAATCTATATTTCTTAACATTACTGAAATTGAACATCATTAATATATCCATTTGTTATCTATCTTTTTTCTTTTGAGAGGTGTTTATATTTTTTTGTATATTTTTACTAGGTCTTAATGTTTTTCATGAAAATTTTATAAATCAATGACAATAATTTATATTTGCTATCAATCTTGATTTTTTAGATATCTTGAAAATTTTTATTTTTGTATAAACAATCTTTCCCTGTATAATTTCTTCCATTGCTTTTCTGCTAAGAAACTCCTTCTTCATTGAGATATTTGATATCCATTACTATTTTCATCTAATGTTTTGAGTTTTTTTGTTCATTTTGATCTTTCACTAGATAGGAACTTTGAGCAGTACACCTGTCTACTATGTCTGAAAAGAGAGATAGCCAAAAGTACAGACTTAGATTCATTCATAGGTAGTTGTTAATGGTTTACCTGGCTGGTCATGGACTTGGAAGAAACAGGCTTAGAAGATCAGTGACAAGAAAATATGAGGAAATATGTGGAAAGATCCCTAAGAATGGGCATAAACTTTGAAAATATCTGTGTGCTATGTGAATGTCCACCAAAGGACATCCTTTATAGAGGAAACTCTTAATAATCAGGTGGACAAAATGATTTGCTCTATGGATATCAGTTAGCCTCTTATTTTAACTCTCTCTAAAAGGATCTATTGATTCAGCACAAGTGCAATTTCAATCAAAACCTCAATGTGTTTTTTGGTGGAAACTGAAATTGGCCCAAAATTTATATGGAAGAGCAAACAGCCTTAAAGAGCTAAGATTCTTCTAAAGAAGAATAAGGTTGCTTATGGAGGGTGTGGGTGGAAGGGATGTCCTACCCTATCAAGACTTATTACCAAGCTGAAGATGGTGTGACAATGATACAGAGATAGACATAATGACCTATAGAAGTTAGATCTAGAGACAGAAACAAACAGAAAAATTGTCAAATGATTTAGCAGTCAGAATATATAAATTTCTATAAATTCAGAAAAATAAACCTAAAGAAAAATAAAAGACATAAACATTCATTTCACAGAAAATTAAAGATGTACAGTCCAAAAGTACACAAAAAAAATCATCAACTCCATTAGTAAACAGGTAAATGAAAATTCAGACTGTAGTTAGTATTTTACAACTGCTACATTGGTAAATATTGAGTGACAATACCAAATGTTAAAGAGAACTCTCATACATTGTTAGTAAGTATATTGGTAGCATTACTTTAAAAAACAATTTGTCATTATCTTATTATATAAATATATACATTCATATACCCTGTAACCAAGAATTCTGTTGTATGTACCTTATAGAACTGTTCATGAAAATCTATTTTATCCATTTACCCTTCAAGTAAATCTAGTATATTTAGATAAAAATAAAAGTATTTTAAAAAGCTACTCAATAGTATCATCAGGATCAAGGTTTAGATATAAATGATCATGTATAAAAGGGAGAAATTTCTGTTTCTTGTGTATTTTTTTGTCAGCATAGTTAAAATAATGTAGACCTACATTTATTAACAAACAATAGCAGAAACTATATAGCCTTATTAACTTAGTCTCTATGGATATGGGTAAATTGATGTATTTATCTTTCAATTATCCTTATCAGTTATAAATGATTCATATTGAATATAACCATTCTAATTTATGATTTACAAAACTTCAAATATTTCAAAAGATCATCTAGGTTGACCTTCCACTAATTTTACCTGAATATCCCATTTGTGGTGTCCGACTTTTATAACCTGATCTCTGGGGATTTCCAGCAGACAATGGAGTTTTAACTCTTTGTGGATAATTAGCATCTCGTGCAGAAGATGAGCTTGTACCAAAAGTAAGATTTGATGCAACTGGGTTTTCGGTATAAGATCTATTGTTTCCAAAGTATGGACCTGTATTTGAAAAATTAAGTGTCAATTCTTATAGATTTAAATTATGCAATCATTAATCCCTATAATTTATACCTTGTTTACTTTCTATAAGCTTCATCTTATAATGATTTTTTTAGAAATATAAAAAATTATGGCACATTTAATGACATTGATAAATGTACTCAAATATGTTAATATGACTTTGCTTCTACAAGTTCATTGAGACCACTCCTGCTAAAATCATAAATTACCCACTAATCTTCCAGTATACCAGATATATTGCTGTGGTTTGATTATATGTCCCCTCCAAAACTCATGTTGAAATTTAATACCCACTGTAACAGTATTGAGAGGTAGAGCCTTTAAAAGGTAATGATTGGTCATCTTGTGAGTGGGAATGGTAGCTTTTTAAGAAAGGGAAGAAACGTTTGAGGTAGCACGCTCAGCCCCCTCACCATGTGATGCCCTGCACCACCTAGGGACTCTGCAGAGGCCCAGTTAGCAAGAAGGCCTTCACCAGATATGCCCCCCTTGACCCTGTACTTCCCAGTCACCAGACCTGTAAAAAAGAAATTTAATTTCTTTATAAATTACTATTTCACATATTCCATTGTAAGCAGCAGAAAATATTAATAAACTAATACAGAAAATTGGTACCAAGGAGTAAGGTGTTGCTATAAAGATATCTGAAAATGTGGAAGCAGTTTAGAACTAGGTAATGGGCAGAGTCTGAAAGAATTTGGAGGAACAGGCTAGGCTAGAAAAAGCCTAGACTCTGGTCAGGGCTTAGAAGACAAGAAGACTAGAGAAAGTTTGAAACTCCTTAGAGACTGGGGTGATCAGAATGCTGACAGAATGTTGATAGAAATATGAACAATAAAGGTCATTCTGATGAGATCTTAGATGGAATTGAGAGACAAGGTATTAGAACCTAAAGCAAAGGCCATCCTATAATAAACTGCCAAGGAACTTGGTTGAACTGTGTCCATGCTCAAGACCTCTGTGAAAAGACAAATTCAAGCAGGAACACCTAAACTAGGGTATCTGGTGGAATAAATATGCAAGAAGCAAAACATTCAGGCTGCTGCATGGCTTTTTTTTTTTTTTTTTCCTGAGACAGGGTTTTCTCTGTTGTCTAGGCTCGAGTACAATGATACAATTATGATTGTATATTCACTGTTCAGTTGCAGTTCACTGCAGCCTTGAACTCCTGGGCACAAACAATCCTTCCACCTCAGCCTCCCACAGGTGCATTCCACTATGCCCAACTAATTTTTTTCCTTTTTTGGGGAGGGTAGAGTGTTAGGGTTGAAAGCCTAGTAGGTACTCATGGCACAGGTGTAGAAAGATTTCCCACACAGAAATTAAGATATAAAAGTAAAATTTATTTTATCTTCTTAGGGGAAAGAGGGTCAGCGAAGAGAGCAGGGAGATGGCATGGCATCCCAAAGAAAAAGAATGAAGTGCCAGCAGCTAGGCCAAGTGACTTGCTGCTCTTATGGAGACAAAGAGAAAGATAAAAAATTGTAATTATTGTGGAGTAATTAACAGGCAGCTGCAAGACTTCAGGTTGTCCACCATTTCTGGTTTTTCTCTACTCCTGGAGACTTGGTTATCTCTGAGATGTTCTCACGATTATGTCAGGGGATGTGATTTTGTCCCTGAGATATGGTTTGGGGCAGGAAACTAAGGCTAGGAGTTTGCCCCCTGCTGTTGGTCAGGGTGCTTCTCAGGAATACCTTGGAGGGCGGAGCAAGATGGAGGAGAAACACCACCAGACAGAGTGTCTCTGCAGAAAAGACAGATTCTAGGAGAAATTAGAAGAAGCAAGCAGACGAGTACACATCGGACGAGAGTCAGAAGTAGGGGTACTAGAGACTACAGGAGACTCCAAGGGAGAAGGCTGCGGAGGAGAACTGGAAGAAGAGACCTCCAGAGTAGCTTGGAGACCAGCAGCAAGGGTAGGTGGAGCAGTTAACCTCCCCCTCCTTTGCATCTCAGACTGGTGGTGGGCTCCCTAGCGGTTAGATAGACCTGCGTACACCAGCCCAGAGACAGCCACCACCAGTGAGTGGTAAGCCTGTAGTGGACATGGGACCAGGCTCCCAACTCCCTCGGGGTACCTCCATGTGCACAGACCCAAGATGCGTGGGAGGCACCATATTGCTACATTCTCCCCTCCCCCGTCCTTATTCGTAGCTGCCAAGGGAGACAATATAGCCACCAGTCGGAGGCATCTCCAGGGCATGGAGCCTTCCCTTTTGGGGCTCTACAGCTGACTGAGGGGTACTCAGACGGTGAGCTCCCTACTCGCCAGCCCTCTCAGGTGCTGCTGGCCTGGTGATTCCAGGAGAACGGGGCCGACCCTGACTGAGGCTGAGAAATATCAGCCCAGCTTGGGCTCCCCATGGGTAAATTAGGACTGGCACTCCTCTCCCTGGTTGGGTCAGGGATTGAACTCTGGGGCCCAGAAGTCAGACCTCTGACCAGATCTGCAGACCAGATCCCGTGCACCCAGGTCTCACATTGCCCAGGGCACAGAAGGGATATATGTGAACAGCCTACTGAGGTGTGTGTGCCTTCAGAGGCAGATCAGTGTCCTAGAGGGCAACCCTCCTCCCAAAGGGAGGCCGTGTGCCCAGCCAAGGCAGCGACCCTGTGCAGGGAACCTCCCTGCCTGCATCACAGCCAGAGGAGACCTGGTGGCGTGAGGTCTGGCCTGCTGGCAGAGAAGCCGCGGAGTTGGGGAGGGTGGAAAGGAGTGAGGCCTGCTCTAGACTGCGCGTCTCAGACGGCCCCACCCACACACACAGACTTTCTGACTGAGTGGGGCCATTCCAGCCCCTCCCCGACAGCTTTTCCTGGAAGCAGAGAACAGAACTTTGACCCCTGATAATGGCATTTGTGGTGCTTAAGGGCAGGCTTACCCAACCAAGCTCCACCCAGACTCACTCCCAGACCAGCCCTCACTGAGGGGGAGAAACGGACACAACTGGAAGTCCCAGGGCCCCACGAACCACCTAAGGCACTAGAGTGCCTCTCCAGAGGAACAAGAGCTGGCACTCACTCTAGCCTGGGCAACAAAGTGAGACTTTGTCTAAAAAAAAAAAAAAAATTATTCTTTCTTAATTACCAGTCATGGTCAATTATATCATCTTGTACCTTGTTGCCCAAGTCATAAACTTAGGAGTCATTCTTAACACCTCTTTCATCAATCTCGACACCCAATCAGTGACAAACTCCTATAATCCTTTTTTATTTAATGTTATTATAATTTTAATCCCTCTCTATTCCTATCAGCCCATTTTAGCACTGTTATCTTCTCTGGGCCTTTTGGAAGTCTCATATTTATTCTCCTTTCTTCCAATATTACTCCTCTCAAATCCATTCTTCACCAGTGATCTTTCTGAAAAACAAATTTGATCATTTATCTCCCTTACAATTCTTAAGTTTCTCCCCATACCCCTCGTAGATTTCTTTGGGTTCCAGCAGGAATCAATCGCATATTCAAACTAGGATAATTTGAAGAGATTTTGATAAAGGGAATATTTAGGAAGGTGTGGATAGGGAGCTATAAGGAAGTGTGTAGAACTAGGATAAAATGTGCTCCATTAGCATCCCCAGGCTTAAAGGAGCTTAGGAAGAGAGTGGTTGCCAGGAACTAGAGACAGAGAGGGCTTGTTCTTATTCTCAGGCTACTTTTAGATGCTAAGCCCTTTTATTGAAACTTGTTCACTTGTCTTAATTCTCCTCCAACTTCCTTAACCTCTATGTTGCTATCTTCATATTCTCCACTCTAGCCCCATATATACTGGTAACTTTCAAATTTGTATTTCTCCCAAGTTTCTCTTCTTAGCCCTACACCCCTATATTTAATTGTCTGACTACAAATTTATAGATATCCCACAGCCTCTTCTGATATGTACATATCAGAACTCATCACCTTCTCTCTGACAATTGCTTCACCTACAAAATTCCCCTGTACCAGGAAACAGTACTATCATCTATCCAGTGACCAAAGCCAGAGAGCTGGTGTTGGCATGTGGGACAAAACATGCCTCCTTATTTGCCTCCCAGATATAATTCCTACAGGTACTCCAAGTTTATCTACATCAGATCTCCTTGCTCTAGCCAAGCAAAATTATTTGCAGTTCTACATGCTTGTTTATCTTAAGAATACTCTCATTTCTCTTTTCTCCTCCTTGCCTGTAGCTGGCATTCTTTATCGTACTTATCCTTCAAGAGCAGTTCAAATCGCACTTACTTTATAAAATTTATTTTCCCACCTTTGTTCCTCAACTTCAATTACATTTCAAAATTTTGTTAATATAGTTATTTCATAAATGTATATTTGATGATTTTTTAAGTCTCTCTTCCCTACTGAACCACAAGTTCCTTGAAAGCATAGATGATTATTATCCCCAGCTCCTAACATAATTTGTGCCTTGGTTCCCTCTGTAAAACAGGAAAATAAATCTACTTTGCAGAATTATTGTGAGGATCAGAGATACCATAACTCTGGTGGTATTGTAAGTAAGCTTGGAAGAAGGAAGAATACTTAGGAGTTTGATATGATAATTTTACATAAAATTATGAGGATCTGAAAAGGCACAGGTAGAAAGGGACAGAATTATTTAAAAGATAAACACAGAACTTGGTAACTGATTGAATGTTTGGAGTGAGGAAACACTTGAATTGTTGACATCTTCTGTGTTTAAGATTAGGCACCCAAGTGATTAAGGTAAGTAAGAGAAGCAGGTTAAAAAATTGCAGAGATGAGTTTAATCATATAGTAAGTCTGAGGTATCGGTCCGTCAATACAAACTTCAGGAGACAGTCTCAATTAGGAGTTCTAGAATGTAGATGAGATCTGATCTGTGGAGATATCCAGATAGAAGTGGCTTAGGAAAAGAAACAAAACAAAACTGGCACACCAATAATTTGGGAACTAACAAAGATGAGCATAGTAGTTCCCTGGGAGGTAAGAGAGAAACAGGAGCAAGTGGAATCAAGTAAGCCAA